ATGACAGCAAACATGTTTTCATTGTTTAGCAATTTTTAAATATATTTTTTTCAAGAGTGAGTTGATGTGCTCTCCTGAGAAAATATTTCTATTTAAAAACCCCAGAAATCTCAAGAGTCTATGCTAATTATAGTTATGGCAGCAACCCTTTTTTTAAGGACTTTTGAAGGACAAATCTTCAAATTTGAATATTTCTGTGAGCTTAAAAGAATACTTTCATTCTTTGTGGTAGTCATGCTTTAAGCATATAATCTCATAGATTATAATAATTCTCAGAGCAACCATAGTGGTGTTATTATGAGGAGATAAAATACATTCCTGATCTTGAAGGTATTCTTTAGCCACTTACCTTTCTCTCCCAACCATTAAACTGAAATTATTTTGCCAGACTGATGTATTTTTAGACTTTTGGATTTAATCCAAGTTTACTACATAATCTTGACATGACTGCTTTATCTCAATGCTGTGTTCTTTAAATTTCTCTGATTAGAAAAAGCCTTTCTAAATCAAGGGTCATTTAAAAATAGTTTACCAACTTTTCCCTTAAATATTTTGCAGAAATTAAACGCAGTCACTAGGTCTCTATCTGTGTTACACTATTGTACATCAGCTGGTCCATGTGAATCCCTGGGATTTACCTTACTAAAACCATAATCCCTTGACTTGATTTGATAGTTAGATTGTATGTGTGGCAGAGGCTTTAGGCAGAAGAATCAAATACATACTTGGAATTATTTCTGACGTGGGTGGTTGCAGCAGGGATTTTCAGTGGCATATTTCTTAGAACAAAATGATTTCATATGTTCCAAGGACCAGTGAAAGTGAAATCAAATGCCTGAAATGCACTGGACTTGGATTGCTCCTGGTTCCTGACAGTCAGTTCTGATGCTGAATTGGTTTGTAACCCTTTGTGGAACAAACTCAAAGCCTGGCATAGTGAATGATTAAATATTCCTCTCTTATGAACAGAAGACTGCTGCTAAATGTTACAGTTTGTGCTCTCAAGTCTCAGATCCCCCATATAAAACTCCACAAATGGTCTAGGTTGGGAGAAAAGTCTAAGATCATTTGCTAATAATTAAAAAAAAAAAAAAGGAAGGACTGTATTATTGAGCAAATATGCTGTATTTTACACGGTGAATGGGATCTCATCTCCTTCATCCTTCTTTTCACCACAATTCATATGGTTTTCTTTTCCAGCTCTGCCATTCTTCAGCTGGCTAATGTATGACAGCCCAATATCATAAATTAAAAAATGGAGGAGGGCAGGATCTCTGCCAGTTTAGATTTCTTACCAACAATAAAATGCTCACTTTCTGACATGTTTCTGTGCAAATGTGTGAAACCCATTTACTTGCTTGAGAGCGTATGACCAACAAGTATGGGAATCTACAAACACTCATCCAAACTTTCCTAGGTGTGTTGAAGTAAGAAAAATACAATCCCTTTGTGCATAGGAGTGCTTTTTCTTTTGTGCTGCATTTATTGGAGAGGCCTTTTCAGTTTTAATCTGTGGATGAAAAGTGCTGTGCCCCAAGCCTGGCGTTTTTGGTATTTGTTCTTCATGCAGGTCAGAAAGCAGCATTGATGTTGGCTAAGGTGTCAGGATTCAAGCCAGGCTGAGTGGTGAGGCTGGCCTACCAATCTGGGGTGCATCTGATGGATATCAGATTACATTATTTATTATTTTGATAATATCTGATACATAATATCTGATGGATATTATCTGATGGATATTGTTATTTGTCATGTACCCGGTGGGCCCTGAATGTTCTCCTTCCACATCCCTGGGACTCTCTGGGGTCTCCCCAAAGTCTGAGTGTGATTTTCTCCCATTGCTGGGTGCTAACACACCTTCAGGGTGGTTCATTGAAACTGGCACATCACATCAGCCTCTGAAATGAAGTTTTTTTTGCTGCGAAAGACACCAGAAGCTTCATGACTCTGAATAACTTGCAGCAGTTCTTGTGAACAAATTTCTCTTTATGTAGCTAAACCCTTAAAAGTGGATATTATATCATCAAAACTTTGGACAAGTTAATTACTATGATCAGGAATCATGTGCTGTTTTAATAATCTCAGGCTAATCTTAGAATGGTTTGGTTTGGAAGGAACCCTAATGACATCTTGTTCCAGCCCCCTGCCATGGGCAGGGACACATACTGGATACAGAAATGCTGTAACTGGAGTGAGGGGTTTTGACATCTTAACTGAAAAAGAAAAGAAAATGTGCATGTTTAGTTTCTTTAAAGTATATGGTGCAGAATTTACTGTGATACAGATATTCCTCCAGGGTGAGGTGGATTTTAAAGTTGCAATACTGTAATTTATCTCTCTATCCAGCACGTACCTTTTTTTAATCTTTGGTGATAGTGGAAGCTCTAAAAGTTTTAGCTTTTTTGATAAGGTGTTTAATGCGGAGATTTATGTCTATTCAGCACCTGTATTTTTAATCTTTGGTAATAGAGGAAGCTATAAAAATACCAGGTTTTTATTGAAGTGCACAAAAGAAAACATGTGAAGGTGAGACTGGATTTTTTGCATAACACAATCTAAAGACAAGTAAATGAACAGAGTGATTAAATAATACTGAAAGAAGTAATTCAGTGAAACTAGCAATGCTGTCAGGTTAACTTTGTGTTTGACAGCCTGTGGTAAAAATTCTGTATCACCATTATGTGCAGATACTATTTGTGGCACCAGTGCATATTAATAATTTCAACAGATAATGGTGAAAAACATTTCTTGAAAGTAGCACTCACTGAGGCAGCTGCCCACTTAGATGATTAATAATTAGAAATACTGCTGGCATTTCTAACGTGGAAATATTGCTTCCTTCAGGAGAGGAACAGATATTTACCATGGAGTGTTTCAGGTTGTTTCCCCGTCGGGTCTGGATGCGGGCAGGTCCACCCAGAATCCCAATTAAATTATTTGTTATTGTGCACATGAAGATTTGTGGAGGGAGCTGGGGGGCTCAGCCTGGAGGTTTGGGGGGACCTGGCTCTGCCCAGTCCCTGACAGGAGGGGCCAGCTGTGCTCAGCTCAGTTCCTCTCTCACACAAATGGAGATCTCCATTTACTGGTTCAGCACATCAACACGAAGTGCAGAGAATGTGGATCTGGGTGAACGTGGGGCTCATTTTCTACAGCAAGCTAATTACTGCTTAAAAACTGATGAAATTCTGAGGGCCATACAGGTTTGCTGAATTGGTCTCTGGAGGCTTTAATTTTTTCCTTCCCTCTTTCTATTTTTTTTTTTTGTAGCTCACTGAAAACTGTCTCTGTAGGCTTCTCTCTCTTTTCCTCCCAGTGTACTGAAGTTCTTTTCCTTAATGTTACCTTGGTAAAGACTTCGCTGCTTTAATATATAATTTTCATTGTGACTTTCATTGCTGCAATTAAGTGGCTAATTGAACAGTTTATAATGTCTGTTCCTAATTGCTTCTGCAATAGGTTAACTGTGAAAGGCATAGAAAATTAACATGCAAAACGTTGCCTGTATTACCTTTTGCTGAAAAAAGCCTCAGAGATTTTCTTTATTTTTTTCTTTATGGGCAAAAAAAAACTGCTTAAAATGCTTCACTATTAAACTTTCTTTGATACTGAATTTTAGATGCCATCTACACCATAATATGCTGTAGTTTAAAAATGCCCATGAAATGTAAGTGTAGTTAGAAAATACATTTGGGATTGAGGTCTAACCTGCAGTAAAAGATGTGAGACTGCAGTTAAACACTTCCTGTCTTGCTATTCTTGCCAAAAATACAGAGCAGCAATTTGGCCTTTCTGCATTGTCTGTTGTAAGAATAGAGCAAAACCAATACAAGCCTCCAGAAAACCCTCCAATGGGTTTATCACAGAAGAAATAGAAGTTTAATCTGCCTGTGCTATTTATAATAATACAACATGGGCTTTCGAGCTGCTTTTATGCCAAAAAAAATAGTAAAGTCCAGGTCATATGGGGGGGGGGTGTTCCCAGCTGTTCTGGAGTATGCACTGAATGGAATGGAGAGCAGCACAATGCCAGAGAAAATCTGACAAAAACTAAGAAAAATGCAAGCTTCTCAAGTCTATCTTCAGAGTTACCATTTGTAAAAAGACATTCAGGGGCTTAGCAATTTCATTATTATTAAAATAATAATGTAATCATCATTTTAGCATATGGATTTATTTTTTATAAAGCTACAGCAGAATGAGTAATACGAATGTAGGGAGAAAATGTCTTGTTTATTATTAAAACTATTTCTTTATAAGTAAATATTGCTGACCAAAAAAAAAAAAATTGTCCATAAAAGCTGAGTTGGGAAATGCTGCATCTGGAAAATCTTGGTTTTCAGGTGGCTGGATCTATAAATGTGTTTTCCTTATATCTTCCCATTTTGTTGTCATCCCAGTGGTGAAAAATCCCAAATAACTTACTTGAAGTGTTGATTAGTAGAGCCTGTACTATACTGCTCTTGAGAAGGAAGATTTCTCACTCTAACCTTTTTCTCCTCTGTGTTTAAACTGTTCTCCTCCTTTGTTCTTTACTAGTTCTGAAATTTTCCTGTTTTCTTTTCCAAATCATACTGACTTTTCAGATCTGTTTGATTACAGGCCTAGCTTTGGTCTAGTCCTTTTCCTTGCTGTAAATGTCTTCCATACTGAAAAAAAAAAAATCCTTCTTTGTTTTCAGGGGTTTTTCATTCACTTTGTTTCTTGATACACTTTATTTCTTCCGTGCCGAAGGGAGGCCTTGAGATGTAATTGCACAGGCAATTATTCTTCACCTTTGTGGAGCTGAGTGCTGACCCCAGGAGGTGTCTGTGCTGTGATGGGCAAGGCTTTGTTGCACTGATGCTGCAGAATTTCTTCGGTCTAGACATTCACATTTCACCTTTCCATTGCGCAGAAACATCCTGGAAGCCTTCAGTTTACCCAAGTCGCCTCCATTGTATTGTAATTCTCATTGGTTTTAAATCTCCCCCTGACTGCAGCGTGGCTCTGTTTGTGTGCAGGGTTCAACAACTCGGAGCGCACGTGCGACAAGGAGTTCATCATCCGCAGGGCCGCCACCAACCGCGTGCTCAACGTGCTGCGCCACTGGGTCTCCAAACACTCACAGGTAACCCCCCCAGACTCACAGGGATCAGTATCTCACTCTGCTCTGCCACGGGCAGCCCTGCCCAGCTGCTCTGCCTGTGTTAAACAACGTGTGTTTTCATGCAGAAGTTTACTCCGTTGTTTATTTGCGGTGAATTTCGCATGGGAAAGCACGCCCGTGGGTGTGGTTTGTGATGGCACAATGGTGTTGGCAGGGGAGGGAGGGCAAGAAACACGAGTGGTTTGTGCAGTATCCATAAAGAAAGTATCCTTCAGGCTGTCAGGTGCTGGGAGAATTTGACATGGGTGCAGAGGAGTATTGAAAATTGGGAAGGGAAGTTCAGGGAAGGGAGGTTCAGGGAAGGAAAGGGAAAAAGAAAGAGTGACAGAAAGAAAAGAAGAAAGGGAAAGGAAAAGAAAAAAGGAAAGGAAAGAGGTTTTTTGTACACTTTGTGCAGATGGTGCTTCATGGCTCTTACAGACTGCTTTGTCACTTCAGGCTGCTAATAAAGGATACTTGATCTCAAAAGCTAACTGCAGCAATGTCAAATTCTCTTATGTGAAATCAGTTTCCTTTTTCCCATATAAAGGGTTTAATTTTCGTAGAGGCTAAGTTTGCTAGAGAATTAACTCAGTAAGAGGTGTAAGTGGCAAAATTGGTTTGTTTGGAAAGCTGAACAGCCCAGAAGAGATTAGTAAACTCTATCTTGGTATCATGGGAGTGATTAATCATTTCAAGTTACTGGGAGCAGCCTGTGTACACCAAATTTTGACTCCCTGTTAAATTAAAGTCAGAATCAAGCAAATATTGAGCTGTAACAGAAGTGGTAGCAGACTTTTATTACGGTTTTGTGTTACTCTAGGTGCTTATTGTGTTCCAGTTCATATTAAATGTCTTCCATGACTTGAGCTGATCCTCTGTGCTAATTAAAATTTATGTAATTGTGGAAATGTGGAAACCTTTATCTATGTTAGGCAATGACTAGAAGTAGTTTAGCTGAATTCTTTTGCAGTTGCTTTTGTATCACATTTGCAATTGGTATTGTAAAAATACAAAGAGGACAAAGATAGTAATAGTTCATTGTGCATTTTCAAAGTGGAAGCTGTTACCTGTACTCCCTGGTCTCTCACTGCCATTTATTTTATCCATGGTAAAGGTGTCAGATTTTAATTTGTTAGCTCTTCTAGTCCATTGTTCTTCCAGTACAGCGAATAATTCAAAATGCTTTGGCATGGGAAGTAAGAAGTGCTACAGAAGCAGACCAATAATCAGATTATTGTGTTGTTTACTTGTGAGACTAGGGAGAGAGAAGGGACAGGCCTGAGCAAACCAGAAAAGACTGACTAGTTGCTGCCAAAAAATATGGGACAGGACTACTTTAAGGAGGACTAGTGAAGAATTACTGTCTGGCCAAACAATGTGAAATGTTGGCAGTGAAGATAGAGAGTCCTGGGAGAGCAGTAGCTCCAAGCTTATTTTACAGTAACAACACAAACTGCAGATCCTGAGCCACCAGTGTCTGGTGAGGGGGAATCCAGATTCAGTTTCCACCATGACAAAACAATGTAAGCATTGAAAGTCTTTAAGAACAACACACCTGCCAAAAACCTTTTTATGTTTTATGGTTTTTGCATTGTTTTTTGGATACTCGGCAACCTTGTCTGAGATATCCTTCATGAGAGCCAAGAGCAGGTCTGAGTCTCAAAAGAAAGGGCAGGTTTTATTCTTAAACAACCCCAAATAAAAATAAACCTATCTTACAGAATAAGTGAAAATAAGTGAAGATAAGTGAAAGTAAGTGAATGTTTGCAAAGACAAATGAGCAATTTTGATAATTTTTCTTCTACCTGGCTTTGAATTTGGTTTTGCTGCAAAAACTCCCAGCACCAAATGGGCAATTTCTCTCTGTGCAGAGACTGAAGCCAGCAAATCTTTTCTTTTTGCCCTAAATAACAGCACAGTGCTTATGTTTACATTTTGGTTTTGAAATGTGACTGAGAGGAGCAGAGCAGGATTCTCCTGCTGCAAACAATGAGCACACCAGTGATGAGGCAGAGGATGACAGGGAGCAGGAGCCTTGGTGGGGACAGAAAGGACTCACGAGGATAAAACTCCCACTGGCTCCTGCAGAGGTGGAAAAATAGGAAGGCAAAAGGGGGCCAGGGGCAGAAAGTCTCAGTATGAGTTTCATGTCAGGTCTTGCAGCCTTGTTTTATTTAGCAATGCTTCCTTGCTTTTTATCTAAACACTTGTATTGCAAAGTGAAGCTCCTTCTGCTCCTGTGACGTGGGGCTTGTCCAAGGAAAAAGCTTTCACATCTGGCCCCTCCAGTCTCCCCAGCTCTGAGTGGCAGCTGAGGGCTTGTTCCCACTGCCCTCTCTGCAGACCTCAGCTGGAGCAGCTCTCTCACAGACTCCTGGCTGCTGGACAGTGTCCCTGAATCACTGTCGTGGTGTGAAAAGCCAGGTGTCTGCTGAGGGAGGCAGGAACCTCCCCTGAAATGGGAAATGCAAAACCCCTCCCTCTGAATTATTGTAATTTCGAAATTAAGGGGCTGTCAGGCAAAGATGTGGGAATAGAAATAACAGCTCTTTACTAGGAAAACTAAAAATACAAATGCAATGGTACAAAAACCAAAACAACCACTGCCAGAGTCAGTTTAGGAGCTGAGCCCTGTGGTCAGGGTGGGGGCACAGCCCCATCCCATGGGGGCTCAGCCCTCCTGCAGTGCCAGCTGTGCTTCTGCTGGAGCAGGGATCCTGCACAAGGGGGGAGTTTTCCTCTGGAGCTCCAGAGCTGCTGGAGATGGGCCTGGTGTTCCTCTGGGAATGCAGGTAAAGAAAACTGCCCCATGAACAGAGATAACTGCCCCAGCTCTGGCAGATGGAAATTGAACACACACTTATTTTAAAACCCAGGACAGTCACTAGTGACCACACAGCCTGGGCAGTGGACAGTGGCTCATGTTTGGAATGCAGGTCATGGTGTGTGCCTGCTGCCTGCCCAGCCCCGCTGCAGCTCGTGCTCTTGGCCATCCCCACGGAGCTGTGGTGAGCTCCCAGCAGCAGCATTGCCACAGGGAGTTACTGACAGCACCTGGGGACATCCCCTGGAGACAGAGGGCTGTCTAAGAAAAGATTATTTCAGTTGGTTACAAATTGTGTTAGCTCACATGAAGCAGGCAATTCAATTTCTTTCAATTTCCATTGAATAAAAAAAATTGAAAATCCTTTTTATGAGCCCCACTTACCTCATATTAAATGGTATAAAGTAATGAATAAGATATTTGGTGAGTTTATACTTAGTTGATTGTAGAAATAATAACAAACTACACTTCACAAGACACATTGTATTTTGACTACGTTGCAGATTGACCCCAAGCTGCCTTGAAACAACTTATTTCTTGAAGTAAGCCAGACTTATTTCAAGCTCAGGGATGAATTTTCCAGAAAACCAGTAATAATTCCATTTACCTCTGCCTTCCACCTGTGCCAACATTTTGTTGCATGTGAATTTACACAGATTTTGCTCAACACAATTGTGTGTGGTAGGTGAAGTGTGGTTTTATGCTTCAAAAGGAAATACTGTAGTGGAGTAACTTCACTGAGCTCTGATGGTGTTTGATGTGCTGTGCACAGGATTAAGACTCACTCACTCATCTGCTGCCATTGGAATAATTACCTGCTTTTGTTTTGGCATGAGTACAGATACAGGAGAATTGTAAGGCAATCCCCATCTACTTACAAATATTCCAAATTCTTGCAAAAAGTCTTCCAGTGGATCTCTCTCCACTCCTGCCTCTTTCTTCCCTCCCTCCTGTTCTTCTATAGTTCTCACTGGCCTACTCAAGCATAAATCATGTTCCTGTTTTAGCTCAATTTTACCTGTCTGGATTGTTCAGTGTTCCCCACAATGCTTAGATGCAGAAAATGTTTCCTCTCACTGAGGAGCCCTTAAAAAAGGGGAGAGGGAAAGCTTCTGGGGTTTCACTGAGCTCATGTCAAATATTGAAAATATAATCTGTGTGTAAACCACCCACAATAAATCTACTGGTTTTAGTTTTAAAATGCATCTTAGGGTGAAGTTGTTGGTTTTCTTTTCCTTGCTTTCTGTTGCCTGTGCTGCACTCTCTTTTCTTCTGGCCAGTGATTTCAAATCTGAGTAATACCCATAAATCTTTAGGCTACTGTAGACTCTAAAGTATATTAGAGGTATGTGACCCTCTAGTGAACCACTGTCAAATTGAAATGTGCCTGCTGGGAAGTTGAAGGATTCCTGTCTCACCAACTGTATTGCTTCTCTGATATGTATATTAGAACTAGAAGTCAGAAATGTGGTGTAAAATTATATAGAAAGCTGTGATACACATATATCCAAGCCATAAGTAGCTACCTGTGGATCTAAGTGTCCTGTAGTATAAACAGATAAATATTCATGTGTGACACCCATAATACAACTAGAGATAATCTACATGTATTTAGAGTTATTTAGTTATTTTTAAATTGTACTGAAAATTGGTTGCTAAATATTTTGGTGTTTGTTTAATTCTTATGATACAAACCTTTCAACCTTTCTCCACAAAAGTCAAGTGTATGTAAATTTTAAATGCAATATTTTCCCTGTTACCTTTTTAATATATATGGCTCCTCACACTGGAATCTCAGCACCACTTAAATAATGGCCTTGACTAGAGAAAGAGATTAGTTCTTCATTTTTCTTCTGATTCCCACATTTTTTTCATAGGGTTTTTTTTTTCCTCATTATACTATGAGAAACAGATTACATTACTTTAAAAAAGAAAACCATAACTTTGGGTTTCCCCAGCAATCCCAGCACAACTGTCTTATGGAGATTACTCAGTAAAACAAGTTTTAATGATCATGATCAAATTATTAATTGTCATTATTATAAGAATTAGCATGTAACCATGCAAAAACTGGAAATGCTTTGGTTTGGCTGAGTCTAATAATTATGGGCAAGACTCTCCTATCCTATTTGCAAATTAAAGAATTTCTAAAATTCTAGACTTTTTTGGTCATGGGTGTGTTTTCAATAAAACAAGACATCTCGAGAGAAAATATCTCATAATGAAAAGAATCAATTGGTTGTGGTTTGAAAGCTGTGCTTGGAGATAAAATCCTGGCCACGATGATGTGATCTGCCTGAGGACTTTACCCAGCAGTGCTGAATGAGGATGGGGGATGTGTCACCTCCTGGACACTTGTTCATATAATTTAGGATATTTCTGTAGCACAGGTTGCAGAGACACCATCCTCTTTCATACAGTGTCTGCCACTGAACTACAGGAAAAACTCATTAATTACACTGGTTGCTTGGGCTTGTGCAGACTCAAGGTTTCTCCTTTCTAAGTTTTGACAGTTTTATATTTCAAATTATTTTCCTTCACAGTACTGTCATGTAGTTTAGTTACATTCCTTGTGTTTTCTCTAATTAGTCCCATTTCCATACCCCAAATATATGGAAAGGCTCTCTTGTCTGTCCTTGCAAACAGGCTAAAACAGCTCCTAAGGGAGGCATTTCAGAGCCTGGCTATACAAAATGTGCTTTAAAAAACAGAGTGCAGTGCTCAGAAAGAGTTTTCGCTTGGTTTTGAGCTGAATGTTTGATACCCCAGCTTCCTGTCCTTCAACACCCTCAAATACGGGTAAACATCTCCAGAAAAAATGAGACACAGATATTAATCAGTTCCAGAGTATTAATTAGCTAGGCCCAGGTGAGGAGGCTGTGGAGGAGTGAGGAGGAGGTGCTGTAACAGGAGGGAAATGCCCAGGGCAGGTGATTGCTGCGCGCTGACTTTGGAGCAATAGCCTTTCTCCAAAGTGCTGTGTGGATGTGTGGCACATCCTGTGGTGAGCACTCATTCCCCTCCTGCTCTGAACTCCCATTTCCAAATTAGCCTCCACCTCAGGGTTCAGCTTTTGTATCTTTCACATTCTGTGCTGCTCTAGTGTGTGGGTCTGGGTTCACATCAGGGCATGGTGAGCTCTGTGCACAGAGCAGGGAGACAAAACAATTCCTGCTCCAGCTGGGCACCAAGGACAAATGATCCAAATCTCAGCCCAGGAGCACAAACCCCGTGGGCTGCAGAGAGAAAAACAAGCAGGATGGGAGTGCAGGGGCTGAGCTGGAATTGGACACTGAACTGCAATGTGCACATGGAGCAGAGCTGATCCCAGGGAGAGACCCCGGGAGCGCTCGTGCATTTTGGGACCATTTGGGCTCATCTTGGGTGCAGCCCTGGCTGGGCTCTTGTGCTGCCCAAGGTGGATCCATGGAGGAGATCCTTGGAATCAATCCCTGCTTTATTCTGGAGCTCTTCCCAGCCTTTGCTCCAGGTCAGCCTTCCCAAGGCATCGCACCTCTCTTGGTGGCTCACCTGAGCTGTGCTCACCTGGGCTGGCTCTGCTGCTCCCAGAGGCACACATCTCCAGAGCTCCTCAGCACAGCAGGGGCTGTGGGGGGCTTTTTGGGAGTGAAACACCACGCTCTTGTGCTGAGGTGCCAAATCTTGCCCATTTTCAGTAACTTCGTGCCTCCTGTTGCCGTGGAAACGAGAGGGGGCTCTGCACACGCGTGGTCCTGCTTGCAGGCAGCTGTGGGTTATCAGGGAGGATCTGTGATGCACCAGGCTGCTGAAGGGTTGGGGTTTGTTCTCCTGTCAAAATGTTACAAAGCAGCTGAATGCAAGAATTTTTGGAGTCTACCCCAAGAGTTGCCTGTAACTTCCCACATTCTGTGTCTGTAGATTGTCTAATACTGTCTGATTTCTCCAAATTCAGAGATCAGATAAGTGGTTGCTGCATGTCCCTGAATCTCAGTCCTCAGTCAGGTATCTGTCTGCCCCAGAGGTAATTAAAATGCTGAAGCTCTTCAGTGCAGGGCCAGATTATTTAGTGAACTTACTGGTTTGAGTGCTCCACAAAAAGCAGACTTTCCAACAGCGTGGGTGTGAGATAAGAAACACCAGAGGGGAGGCAGATGAGCAGAGAACCTCAAGGCAGCAGTGAGAGGAAGGGTCCTGCCCTGCTGGGCAGTGGTGCCAGAACTGCAGTTAGACACAGAGAGGATGTTGTGGGTCTTGGCCAGATGCAGGTGATAATTCAGAAAAGGAAGGTTCCCTGGTCATCCTGTCTCCACACAGAAGGCAAAAGTCAAAAAGGAGAAAAATCCCAGCCTTTGGGAGATCCTACTTTTGTGGCCAGTTTACTCTTGCACCACAATTTTCTCTGAATATTTTCAAACAGTTGTAAAAAAGCTTAAAAAAAAGAAATAATTCAAACCTAATTGAAAAAGAAAAGGCAAACCCATTATTTTAGTTGTTTGATCAAAACTGTTAAGACTAAAGGTAGTAAAACCTTTTTCTTTTCAGGATTTTGAGCTGAACAACGAGCTCAAAATGAATGTGTTAAATTTGCTGGAGGAAGTTTTGAGAGACCCTGACCTTCTGCCACAAGAAAGGAAAGCTACTGCAAACATACTGAGGTAAATGCATTTCCAGTTATTTCCCATGTTACCTGTAGGAGAGAGGGAGACAGACTGTGTGTCATAGAATTCACAGGGTTGGGTTTCCCTCCAGAGTATTTAATTTTGAAGGGTTACTGAGTGTTTTATGAGCCATAAAGCAGAGCCTGTTTTAAGTTTCATTCATAAAAATACCTGTATTGGAAAGCTTTGCTGCAGAACAGCTGGCAACCATGAGTTCAGCCTTCAATATGAGTGAAAACAGCTCTGTCTACAAAGTGTGAATATTTTACAGCTGCTGGTTTCAAGTCCATTGTTCTGCCATCCTGAGGAGCAGTAAACATTTAAACATTAAGCAATAATTAAATAAATAAATTAGTTGAAACATCTATAGACTAAGGAGTGATAAAAATAAAGCATCATGAAATGCAAAGATAAAACTATGGTGTGTTTTATTAACATTTATGTAAGTATTTTGCAGGTAAACCAATAAGTGGACAATAAATAGAATATGCCTGAGTTTTCTAAGACCATTTGACAGGTTTCCAACAGATAAATGAAAAAAAAGGTCTGAAAAAATCACTTGGGAGCACAAATATCAAACAAAAGATAAAAAGCACAGATAAGTTGTTATTAAAAGCACCTTTTTTTCTTTCATAAACTAAAATAATCCTCCTTTTAATAATACTGTGTGTGCTGCTATTCCGTGTAAAAGCATTGTTTTCTGTTTCTTTGGAAGAGACAGCAAGTCAAAAGAGCAAGAAAGATGAGGATGATGTGGATTTTGATGATGTTTGTGACAGCAAAGGTTTTTCTCACAGTGGGTAAAATTACCCTAAAACTTTCAGCTTCTTAAGGAAATGTTTTAAAACAAGCCTTGGGTGGCTGTTCCTCGCAGAGTAATGGATTTACAGGCCTTTACCATACAAGCTGGTCAACAATTTCCTGTTCCCAGTTTCAAATGAGCCAATTTCCACTAGCAGTTACATGAAAAAACGGACCTTTGTATTTATGTGTAAACAATGAATTATCTCCATTTGCATCCTTTTACTGCAGTTCTAGGAAATGGCTGTTATTGTTTGTCCTCTCTCCCCTCCTAGAACTGATTACTGAGTACCTGAGCACAGTGTCTGATACACCAGTGAACACAGTTCATCAGATATTTCCATTTTCACAAATTTTTCAAAAATTCAGACTGAATTTTTGACCATTCTCTGAATTTTTTTTTTAAATTTTTGGCAAAGCAAACGAAATGGAAAAATAGTTTTTTCTTTCAGCCTTGGCTAAAAACTCCTTTATTGTTTTTCAAGACTGGTGGTGCTGCTAAGCATATGTGAATGCTGGACAACTTGATGAGAACTATTTCAATCCTGCTTCTATGTGATTTAAATTTCAATACAATTTCTCATCCTTTCACTGGAAGGGGGAGGTGTTCAGATCACCTCTGGGAACTGTCTGGTAATTAAGAGTGATTTCCAGAGTTTAACAAAGCACTGTAACTACTGCTAGAGACACAGGCCCTCAGCAAGGCTATATAGCTAATTGAGTAATCAGTTATGGGATATAAAGAATACTCTTAAGGATATAAAGATGTAATAATCCTTATAGGATATAAGGAATAATCAGCAGCTGTTTGTGTGTAACTTTATCTGTGATACTGACACATGAGTGCACGTTCCTTTGCTCTTCCACAGTCCTTAATTTTTATTGCACATTCTTCAAATAGAAATATTTATAAGCTTTAAAAATAAGCTGTATTGCTGGTGGGAGCAGGGACCTGCTGTCCTGTGGAAGCTGAGCACTCAGTCCTGGGGCATCCAGGGGTCCCTCTGCTCCTCAGCCTGGTGGTGGACTCAGAGGCAGAGCCAGCTGCTCTTTGGCAGCTCAACTTTGCAATAACCGGAATATGAAATGGGGGAATAGCTCCTGTCAGGGGGTTTAGCTTCCCTGGCAGGTTGCAAACATCCTTTTACAGTTCTGGAGCAGATTTCATGAGGGGTCAGAAACGAACAGAGTCAGAGAGGTGGCATTGACCTGCCTGTGTCCCCTCTGACAGCACAACTGCACAGGGGGCAGACAGGGTTCCAGTGCCAGAGGAACACAGCTTTTTCTACATTTCACTGAAAGCAGGAGTGCTGCTGAGGTGCAGGAGGAGGGTGTGGTGACGTGGGGTTTGTTCTGTGCCCCACGGTTCAGTAGGTCAGGCCAGGACTGAGCCTGCTCTGCCCTAGACTGGAGAGCTCTGGCTGTTTGCTGCCTGCAGAGATCTCTGTTTGCTGCAGAACCAGCTCCTGCTTGTCGGGGTCCGCTGTTGTGTGTCTCTGCCCCGACACAGGGAAAGGTGGTTCTGGGCGGCCGCGATTGCCACGGATGAGTCTGCCCTCTCAGATTCTCGGTCTTCAGTTCTGTTTATTATCTCTTATCTACAAAGTTTTCTCTCTGCCCAGCCGAGGCCCGCTCAGCAGGACAGCCGAGTGCACTCTCCCCCGCCCACAGGGCGGCTGTGTCTTTTATAGTAAAAATTACGTGTGCCATATTTACCTTTATTTCCCAATACTATTCACCCTTATAGACAAGTGTCCCTTCACCACGAACCAATCTCCAAGTGCCAACATCACCACACAAAATGGAAGACATGAAGAAGAAAGAAGAACACAGGACCACGCCCTGAATCCTCCATCTTGCCTTCATGACCCCCCTGTACCTATTTTTCTAAAATTTATATTTCCCTCCATAAAGTTACCATTCACACCCAAGAAGTTCTCATTTCCTCCGTCACAGGTTCTTCTCCTTTTGATGGATCGAAATCCAACCACCAAACCCTTTTGGCAGCATTCCAGGGTTTCCGAGCCCCCCAGGGGCTCCCCTGGTGTCTCTGCACATCCACAGTGATGTGCTGAGATCCCACACCTGCTGACCCACAACTGCTCAGCTTTGGGCCAGGGCTCCCCTGAGCCACCCTGGAGGGCTGCACACCCTGCAGGGTCCCTCGTCTGCAGCACACTGGGGATCCTCTGCCACGTCAGGTTACATCAGTGTTCTGAGCGTGGAGAGAGGGCCTGCAGTGGAAAAAAATATTTCCTGAGTTCCTTCAGCCTTCCATAGCCTCTGAGGGCCATTATGAAGGCTTTGCATCACCAAGGAGCCCTGTGGTGGGACCCTGTGGTTACCTGAAGCACAAAACCACAAAACAAAGGTCAGGCAGGGAATGCTGCACTCCTGCCACAGTCCTTCCCTGTCACAGAGGAGATCCTCTCCACCAAAAATCTGTGAATTCAGGCATCCTGGCTCTTTCTGCATGGACAGTGACAGGATCCAGGCAGGGAGTTGTGGCTTGGTCTGACCCCTGGCAGAATGTGCAGAGGTGGTCCCAGGGTTTGTGTTTCTCTTCTGGCTCCTGTTCAGAGTCTGGCTTGGAGAAAAGCTGCTCAGCCTCTGCCCTGCTCCTTGGAGGGATTTCCTTCTCAACTGAGACCTGTCATCTAGTTCTGCTTAGAGGGGAAATATAAATTACCTGGAACTGAAGGGCTTTTTTTACTGTTGTTACAAATACTTACAAACCAATTTGTTTGAAGGTGTCTGACAGCATGATTTCCATGAGCAAGCACAGATCTGTTGTAACTGGGAGATTTGATTCAAAAAACTTCCATTCAAAAGGTTTCTCTGGGATGGGTTGAAAATGGGAATAAGGAGTAATCCAGTGGATGTGTCCTTCATAAAAATAGTCACTCACCCGCTTGCCAAGTGAGTGCTGTAAAATTTTGTTGTTCTGCAGAGGTGCTTGCTGCAGGCATTTTGTCTAAAACATGTATTCTATCAGAATTCTGGGTTGCCTGTCAGCTGTCACTGTAGGCCCTGGCTTCCCCACATCTCAGTTTTTGTAGTCCACTCGTGATTCTGAAAGGCTGACAAATGCAGAATGGGCTTAGGACAAGCATTTCTTGTAAAAAATTCCATTTCAAACATTCATGAAAAAACGTTCATGCTTTCTGTGGCTTAACACTGGTATTGTCTATGTCTCCCTGAAGGATATTGGGTACAAATACCTCTTTTCACAAACTGCCTCAGCCTTTGCATGCATGCACATCCTTGGAAAACCCATCCCCTTGTTAGCAGAGATCAGAGGAGCAGGAAAGGTTGGTTTGTGTTCCAAAGATCCATCAGGTCAGCTCTGGGAAAGGCTCTGTTTGGAACACGAACGACAAGGAAAATGTTGATGGGAGATGCTGAGCTGCTTCATGCCTTGAGTCATCAAACAAAGCAGCTGGTATTTCTTGCTTGATGGGATTTCTGTTGTGTGCACTGACAGGGTTTCTCTTCAGGGTAAAAATGCTTTTTTAATTCAGTATCTGTTCTGAAAGCTAGGCAGACCTCCCAATGTACATTTTGCTTGAGATTTTATCAGCCTGATTTGCTAACCCCCGAAATCTAGATAAAATTTGATTGATAATGAAGCAGGAAGGTGTAAGTTCAGACTGAACAGCAGTGAATAACTTGGATAGATAAATCCTATTTGGAGAAAAACAGGTTGCTTCCAGAAACAGCTCCTCCTCCTTCTTCTTCTTCAGACTAAACATACACGAAATCGAGGGATATGCAGATGTCAAAAAGTGATGGATGAACAATTTTTCTGCCTTCTGTGATCTCACCAAACAACACGTTTCAGGCTCTCTAACTTGCCCTAGCTTTTAAATATTTGTTACATGCTTTATGTGCCACAAGCAAAGGATGAGACACATGCTTAGTACTTTCAAGTAGAAAATTATTGTAATATTTGAGAGAGAGAGAGAGAGAATGTTAACTGATGATTCTAAGAATTAGAAAAGTGTTTATTTTATATTTTCTTCCTTCATTTCTGAAGATACTGGAGGAGTCACCCTGTTCTGTCCTCCCCAAGGGTGACACAGCTCAGGAGAGCCCCTCTGTGCCTTTGCTGTCTCCTGTGACTTTCCACAAGGATGTGCCTCTTCCCAGCTCCCAGGAGCTCTGCAGGGAGTGCAGTGGGAGCTGTCCAGGCAGTGCTGGGCAGCCCAGTGAGTGTCCCCAGTCCTCTGCTGGAACTGGGGGTCCCAAGGATGACAGCAGCACAGAGTGAAGTGGAAGCTGCTGTTGATGCTGTCAAAAAGTTACCACTACCCAGTCTACAGACCTGTTGTCCTCTGCAGTTTTCGCTGTAGAATATTTATGCATAAAAGGAGAGTTGGTTTTGGGTTTTTTTTCATGAGACCACTGTGCTAGGAAAAAAGCATTTGTTTAGAATGACAGATTGAAAGTCTACATAAAACATGAGGTGTCATGGTAGAGAGTATCAGGAGGCAAAGATGGGGGGAAGTTGACTGTTTCCAGTCTTTTCAGAATCCCATGTTTCATACTTTATTTCATATTAAGCAAATACAACAATTTCTGTATCAAAGGCAGCAACCTGATCAAACATAAACATAACATGAAGTTAACTCAGATTTTACAAGACTGGTGAGAATTCCTGGGGCAGAGGGACGGGGCCTGTGTGATGTTCATTGCCAGGGGCTGTTGCCACAGGATGAACAACACCTTCCTGCAGGCCCCCAGGCATGAGGAGCAGCGCAGAATAAGCTGCTCTGCAGGACAGATTGGCAGGCTATTTACAGGGACTGAGGCTGCACTCCTGATTCTCAGGGCAAGGAGCTTAGGGTACTCCTGGAGAGGCAAACACGCCTTGCCCTGCAGGCACAAGGAGTTTCCAGCCCTTATGGGGAAAAGGAAAAAAAAAAATAAAATAAAAAAAAATAAAGCGTGCATTCTGACAGCCTTTTGCATTCTGACCTATGTTCCTTCTCCCTAAATCTTCTCACTCCTGTATTACATAAATCCAATGTTGTCACAGTTTCTTTGTGTCTGTAATTCCCACATGAAGGGGTAAGGTCCTGTAATGCCAATATGCTACATCAGGGTAGAGGTTTGATCAGTACTTACTTTTGCCTAGTTAATTCTTGACCCATTACTCTGAAATAACCATAATAATCACATGTTTCTGTAGCAGAATTGGAAACATTCATTAAGACTTTTATTACTGAAAGGAAATCATGTCCTTGCTACAAGCAAAAGCTGCATTTTTGTGTCCTTTCTACACACAGAGCTCAGTGTGGGACACTGAACTGCACAATTTCCACGATTCATTAGCTGAGGATCTTAAACTTTCATGGAAATAATTTCTTCTACGTGTCTCTGATGTTGTAACAGTTTACACATTTTTACTTAAAGCAAGACATGACTTTGTTGACTACAGATTTATTTTTTTCCTTTACCTCCTCAATTGCAGACTTGAGATTTATTTTAAATAAAACATTTTGTTGATCTATGATAAGGTTTTGTCATATCTGTGGACAACTTTATTTATATAGGATGTTCTGCCACTTTATTTTTCAGGACTCTTTCTCAGGATGATCAAGATGATAACCATTTGAAAATAGAGGATATCATTCAGATGGTAAGTTCATCTTGAGAGTTAAACACAAATACTCCTGGAGAAATGTTGTATGTTTGAGTCAATAAAATGTAACACAACTGCAACTTGTAAAGTATTTCTGAACAGATATACTGTTTTTTATACTAGGAATGTTGATTTCAATTGAGAGAGTGTAAGATTTTGGAGCCCCTATGAAAAATGAACACGTCAAAACTTTAGTATTATTTGGATAAAATCTCAAGATTTAAAAAAAGGAGAAGAAATTAATATGTGTGAAACTATAAGTGCAGAATATGCAGAGTTTAATTAACCCACATTCATACTCCTGAGCTGCTGTGTGCCTGTTTTATGAGTTTCCAGCCAGGTGTTTGTGCTGTCCGCGATTGTTGAAATCCTCATTTCTCCTGATCCCAAAGTTAATTACAGCCCCACTGAGGGTTCCCAGGAGCTCCTCGTGCCCTGTGGCCCACGGAGAGAGCCCTCAGAGTTGTCCTTGCTTTGCAGCCAGACTGCCCCAAGCCCGAGTGCTTCGAGACGCTGTCGGCCATGGAGCTGGCGGAGCAGATCACCCTGCTGGACCACGTCGTGTTCCGCAGCATCCCCTACGAGTGAGCACATGCATGTGGGGTTTGGATAACTCCCTGCCCTTTGCCCAGGCCTCTGGCAGCTTTATGGAGGTGGCCACCACCCCAAAACCCACTCTTGATCACAAGTTCTTTAATAATGGCTGATTCGGTCTATAAGAGAATGAATTATTTACTTAATAGACAGAACTAACAAATAAAAGACTTAAACTAATACCACAGGGGAATAAGGACAAAAAGAAAACTACTAGAAGGTCTATACAGTGTCTTAATAGACAGAAAACTAACAGATATAAGACTTAAAACAAACTAACACCACAGAGGAATAAGGACAAAAAGAAAACTACTAGTAGGTGTATACACTGTAAACACACCTCACACTGTGTACCAGTAAAAGGTACCCATTAATGTTACAGCTGGTGAAGAAACAACACAACTTAGGATTCAATGGCTCTTACCATCCAGTGGTTGGTGGAGCACACATTGAGGTCCTTTCCCTGAATCCCCAGGCAAGCATCCATGGAATCTGTCCAAACTCCAGGGAAAAGTTTCAAATGCTTTCAGGGTGTAGGAGGCTTCTGCCTCTGTGGCAACTCCTGTGTCTTTTACAGTTTGTGAAACAGTCAGGAATATTTCTTTTATCTCTTCCCACATCTTCTCTCCAGACTGAGATGTTGGTTCTTAGCTGGGTTATCTCCTCATATCTGCACCCACTGTCTGTGGTAGAGAGGGGAGGACAGTCCTGGCAGAGAGTGTCCCTTGGGGGGCCAGTGGCCACCAGGCTGGGGTGGCCACCACCCCCCCAACTCAGGCCCTGGCAAAAGGGTTTGCACACATACAAGGATAACGTGGTGTAAATAGGGTCACAGTGCTGGAAATTGGGATGAGGTGACAAGGGAGAGGGGATTAAGAGAAAAATAAATGTTCTTTACACTATTTACCATTTCAGACAGCATTAAAAATGGTATAGTGAGATGCTGGAATTAGTGTAAAGCTGTGTTATTAGCTTCCAGCAAATTGAGGTATCCTTGAAATCTGCTTAGGCTGTGGTTAACAGACAGATTCTGTACTGTGTTTATGAAGATTTTGTTTGCTTTTTTCTCTCTCATCAATGTCTAGAGAGTTCCTTGGTCAGGGCTGGATGAAAGTGGATAAAAATGAGAGAACGCCCTATATTATGAAAACTAGTCAACATTTCAATGATGTAAGTACTCTCAAATACAGACTTGCTTTCTAGGAACCCCATGGCCTGTCTCTGACCTCTGGAACAGAAATACTGGGTTCCGTTGCAATGTGATGTGATGTGTTACCTATTAGTGACTGAATGCTGCAGCCTCTTTGTAATTAACAAATTAAATCAAAGCAGATGAAGATTCTCATTTTCAATAATTGGTACTCAGCATTTCAGTGGCATTTTAAGAGAGCAGAATGTTTTAAACTGTGGCACGGTGCCTTTCAACCTGATGAAGAAACTTCAGTTTCTCCAGAGAAACAGAACACCAGTCCTGTTCAATGCCTTTGTATCCCTACACATCTCTTTCTCCTTTATAATTTTCCTTTAATTTTACTGAGAGACTTCCCAGTCAGGTTTAGTGCTGATGGCTTGGAGACCTTCCCATTGCATCCCTAACTCTTCTTTCCTGTCCCCATGCCCTCCACCTGCCCTGAGCTCTTTTCCACTGTCCTTTTCCTGGGTTTATGAATCACATAATTCACAGAAATCTCAGAATCACTGGGTTGGCAGAGACCTTCAAGATCATGGAGTCCAACCCAGCCCCAACACCTCAGCTAAGCCCTGGCCCCCAGTGCCACATCCAGGTTTTGTTAAACACACCCAGGGATGGTGACTGCAGCACCTCCCCGGGCAGAGCATTCCAGAACTTCATCACTCTTTCTGTGAAAAACTTCTCCTAATATCCAACCTGTATTTCCCTTGGTGCAGCTCTTGGTGTTCTGTGGTTCTGTCAGTGCTGCCTGGATAAGAGCCCAGCTCCACCTGAGCACAGGCACCTCTCAGAGAGTTTTAGAGTGATAAAAGAGTTTTAGAGTCCCCCCTGAAGTCTCCTTTTCCCCAGGCTGAGCAGCCGCTCCTCACAGGGCTCGTGCTCCAAGAGCCGTCACTTCTGTCATGCTCACTGGGGGTTTTCCTGCCTTGCCCGTTAATTCATGACATGTCAGAAGGGATTGTGCTCCAGCTCCCTGAGCCCCTTCCTCTCTCCGTGGCCAGATGAGCAACCTGGTGGCCTCCCAGATCATGAGCTACGCCGACGTGCCCTCGCGGGCCGGCGCCATCGAGAAGTGGGTGGCGGTGGCCGACATCTGCCGCTGCCTGCACAACTACAACGGCGTGCTGGAGATCACCTCGGCCCTCAACAGAAGTGCCATCTACAGGCTCAAGAAAACCTGGGCAAAGGTGTCCAAACAGGTGAGAGGGACACGGAGCAGCGGGCGGTTCTGGTTCCGTCACCCGCCGTGCCCGGGGGGTGAGGCAGGAGCCCTCCTGTGAATATTCCTGCTTTGCCAGCTCCTGGGGTGTAGGAAATGGAGAGGTGGAAATCTCCACAAGATACTGAGGGCTTTGAGGTGCAGCCTTGGAAGGAGCTTGGAGGGATGTAAGAATGAAAGTATGGAGAAATTAAGCAGAAAAGTTGTAAACTTGGGTTTCTGTAGTTGTATGAGTATGCCTTTAAGTGAGAAAATGTATTGGGTAAAATAGGGAAGGGTTTTGTAGTGTAGTAATGTAATTGTACAGAGTAAGGTATGAGTTAAGATGTTATAATAGAGCATTTGTGTGTACGTGTAATTTTATATATTACTATATATATAAATATATTATTATATATATAATTATATATATTATATATATTATTAATATTATATAAGGCTACATATAATATTATATATTGATATATAATATATTATGTATATAATTTTCTATATTATTACATATTATTATATAATATTCTATATTATATAGTCTATATTCTATATAGAATAATATATTCTATATAAATATAGACTATATTAATTATTGCATATATAATTGTTATAATTATATATGATCATATATAATTTTAATATCATTTCATCCCATTGGGTAAAAGCATCTGCAGTGCAGCAGAATTAAGTAGAGGTGATAGGTTAGAAAAGCAAAATAAACTTTATCACAACTTTCCATTGGATTAGAATGTTCTGTATTGCCTTGTAATGAAGGACTTGTGACTACCTTGAGCTATGAGTGACTAGCTGCTCCTCTAAAGTCTCACAACCTTTGAGGCTGAGGCTGATGTTTATCTGAGTAATAAATCATTTTTAGCCCTACAGTAGTCCCATCCATTCATTAATAGTCGATAGTTGATAATAGTGGGATTGACATTTTCTGTCCTGGAATTTTGCATGTACTTTTTTAAATCTGTGGGAACAAAAAGTTTTCAAGGTAATTGGCAGGTGCCAATTGGCCTGAATAGCTGAAGGGTTCAAGTAAACTAAAGTTAGGTAATTTCTCATAGACACATCTGGGTGGTTACAAGCTATGGTTAAAGTCTGGTCATGTGCCTAAAATAACAATGCAGAAAGCCTTTAGGAAGGTCAGAACCTCTCAGATTCCTGGGTTTTTTTACCTAGAAAGAGACTGTTCATAAAAAGTCTTCTTTCTTATTTAGGAGCTCAAGTTTAGGTGCAGTGAACACCTCCCTTAAACCCTTACCTGGTTGCTGAGAATGTCAGCAAAAACTATGAGAATGACAGCCAGCCACAAAAACAAGAGACACACATGAAAAAAAGGCCTGTCAGGATGAAGATAATCCAGTCTTTTATGTTCTGTGTTCTAAATGGTTCAGAGAAATACAATTAAAATAAATTCTGACTGTAACACCTACTCCATTCAGCTTTTTCTCAGCTGCCTCACAGCTGGTGCTATGTTCTTCTATTTAAAAATCTATTAAAAGTTCTTTCAGTACAAACTGCTATGACTGAGCTTTCCTCCAAAAAGTTTTTCAGATAGAATTAGTTTGATTTTTGAACTTTTCAATTACAAAAGAAGAAACCAAACCCACAGCAGATTGATGTTGTGGCACAGTCCCCTGGTACCTATTGGGAATGCAATCTGGGTTTTTCATCATCCTGCTGCATGGAAGAAAGTGAGTCTGTCTGCCTACAGCTCTCTCTTAATTGAACATTCAGTTTCAAATAGGATGAATTTCTCATCATTCTCTACACTCAGATCTCAAGTCAGCAGCAAAAACAGGCTGAAAATCAAATTTATCTCACTTAGGAAGGAACCAGGGTCTGGTGATGCCCACTGACAGTGGTTTGTGTAAGACATGAATATATTCTTTTTTACATACTCTGCTTTTCTCTGGGTCTTGGAGGCAGAATCAGCTCAGTGCAAGCTCCAAGGCAGTGACCACCCCTTGCTGTCACCAACGTCAGTAAATGCAGCTGAGGATCCTCAGCCACATGTAGGGTCTGCTATGTTCTTGTGTGCACAATAAACTGAATTCCAGACCATTAATGTTATAAATCTGGGGGTTTTCCTCCATTTGCAGGGTAATATCAGCATAAATACAGGTTCTGTGTATCACTCATAATGCTGCCTAATCTCCACTTGCAGAAAGACAGGAGGAACTGCAGTAAAGCAGAGTTCCTGATTCAGTAATGCCTGTTGTACTGCTCTAGAAAATGGGGTGGGGATGATAAGTGAATTACACCTTGGTTATAATCTAATTCCAGTCATTTACATGCACCAGCAATGACATTTGAAATGCATTTCCTTCCTAGACAAAGGCACTCATGGACAAGCTTCAGAAGACTGTGTCATCTGAGGGAAGATTTAAAAACCTGAGAGAAATGCTCAAAAAGTAAGCCTCCCTACAGTATACAACAGTGGATAGGTCATGTTATAGATTAATTGGCTGTGATTAAACTTTAATTTTTTTTTTCCTAATAACCTTTTAAATTCTAGGTTGGTTTTATTTGGCAATACTGTTTTGCTGCATTTGCTGTGATTTAATACCCCTGATGGGTAAACACAGTAGCTCCAGAGAATTACTGAAACAAATTAAACTATTTTTCTGTGTGAACATTCCCTATTGGGGTTTCACTTACACTGATAAACTTTTTCAATAAGTGTAAAGCCAGATTTATAAATTGAAGTTTTTATGAAAAACAGGATTATTCCACTTAAGAATTTTAAGGTTTGGGAGTGAGCCTGTGTCAGGTCACAGGCTCATTGTTATGACAATAAATTATGTTTCTGACAAATAATTATGAGAGGAACATAGAGAGAGGACAAAGGCACAGGGATATTTCCTCTCCTGTGACCTCCCAACCTGCTGCAAAACAGCATAGAGCTTTTGTGCAGCAGTCCTCGAATATTGTTTTATTTAATTGATTTGCCAAATTGCACTTGACATTCTGTAATTTTGCCATCCAGAATATTCCATGTCAAGTGTTCTACAATTTATGTAGAACTGATTTCAGCTGTTACAAAACCTGAATTTTTGTGAGTTCTGTAATTGGAAGCAGGCTTTTCAGAATCGAGTGGCACAAGTACCTCAAGTGAGGAGCTGAGAACTGAACAGCCAGAATAATTAATGGTCTATTTTAAAAATGCCATTAATATTAGATATTGGGCAGAGTGCATTCAGCTTATCACAGGCAGAGCAAACACAGCTCAAGCAGAGCTTGAGCTTGTTTGTCCTGGAAAGGAATGAACCCATGGATTAGAACTGGGCAAAATAACAAAGAGTTTGTGCAAGTTGGAGAAAAATGCATTTGGAAATGCAGCTGCAGGCAAATAAGGTGATTTGTTGGTTTACAGCTGTAACCCACCTGCTGTTCCCTACCTTGGGATGTACCTGACCGACCTGGCATTTATTGAGGAAGGAACACCCAACTTCACTGAGGAAGGCCTTGTCAATTTCTCCAAAATGAGAATGGTAATTTTCAGTTTCCCACATGCTCCGCCAACAGGTGTTTCGTTGTGTGAGTTAATTACTGATTTCACTGTAACTCCTCTGAATTTACCTTTGGAGAAGCTGCTTTGGTGCTGTGCACTAGAGGCAGCCTTGGGAGAGAAATTACTCGACCCAGTCTTCTATCCCCACCTTCTGGCAGGCTGGGTGTTTTCACAGGCTGAATTTGTCCCCGGTTCACTTTCTCAGAAAGGACAGCAAGAGCAGCTCGTGGAGGAGCAAGAAAAAGCTTTTTTAAATAACCAGAATTACGGGAATGCAGTGATTCACCAGGAAGCAGTAATCACAATGTTCTTTTCAAAGCGTGCTCTGCTCTATCTGAAAAGCACTTTAAAGTTGATGTCTCTCCCGCTGCCATGTAATGCTGTTTTGTAACAGCTCCTGGGAGGGAGGCATGGACATTTCTCCCCTAATCTCAGCTTAATGCCCACCTTAGGGCTACACTCTGCAGCAGTCACTCGAGGCAGAGAACGGGGAGGTGTCATTATGGCCAGAGTGGTGGTTCACTCGGGGCTGCCTGAGGAATAAATGTTTGGTTTGGGAAAGTGAAGTCCTGGGGAGCTGTTGGGATATGATCTCTACTCTTCCCTTCTCTCCTCCTGACAGAGGAGGCGTCAGCAGAGGCTGACAGAGACACAGTAAAGTCTTGTCAGGAATGGAGTGTCATGGCTGTAATTGTGACAGACAGTAATCCCTACCATTTCTACAAATAAATAAATATATAAACTTCCTGTAATGAACTTACATATTTTATATATGTAATTTGAAGTTATATATTTATGTACATATAAGTTGAATGGAATAATTTGGTGCAGAATTCTTGCTTTGTGTGCCTGAGCTGAAGCAGGGCTGTGTTTGAACTTTTGTCCATGTGTTCTTTTTGGAAGATCTCACACATCATCAGGGAAATCCGCCAGTTCCAGCAGACCTCCTACCGCATCGAGCACCAGCAGAAGGTGAGGCTGCTGCCTGCTCCTGGAACCAGGCTGTGGCAGCAGGGACTTGTGAGGCACAGCTGCCACTGAAAGCTGAAGTTGGTGCCTTCTGCTCCCACACGTGGAGGAGAGGACAGACAGACACACGGACGGGTCCTTGGGGCGGTGAGACCCTCACCCCGCAGGACCTCTTTGTTTGATGCCTTTCAGAGAGGTTTTTTGCTCCTTTGGAGGGGGATTGCAGCCTTGGAGGGTGTGAGGGGTTGAGAGGGAAGTGTGTTCTCCCTGCCCTGAGATCCTGGGATGAGGGTCAGGAGGTGTCCCAAGCAGCTGCTGGGGCATCCTGCAATTCTTAGTCCCTTTGCCCTTCTCAGGAGTGATGCAGCTGTGACCAAAGCTGCTCAGTGCCTTCAGAGAAGGCTCATCTCAGACTCCAGATCAGAATCGAGTGGCACAAGTACCTCAAGTGAGGAGCTGAGAACTGAAGAGCCAGAATAATTAATGGTCTATTTTAAAAATGCCATTAATATTAGATATTGGGCAGAGTGCATTCAGCTTATCACAGGCAGAGCAAACACAGCTCAAGCAGAGCCAGAGGAGCTGTTTGTCCTGGAAAGGAATGAACCCATGGATTAGAACTGGGCAAAATAACAAAGAGTTTGTGCAAGTTGGAGAAAAATGCATTTGGAAATGCAGCTGCAGGCAAATAAGGTGATTTGTTGGTTTACAGCTGTAACCCACCTGCTGTTCCCTACCTTGGGATGTACCTGACCGACCTGGCATTTATTGAGGAAGGAACACCCAACTTCACTGAGGAAGGCCTTGTCAATTTCTCCAAAATGAGAATGGTAATTTTCAGTTTCCCACATGCTCCCCCAACAGGTGTTTCGTTGTGTGAGTTAATTACTGATTTCACTGTAACTCCTCTGAATTTACCTTTGGAGAAGCTGCTTTGGTGCTGTGCACTAGAGGCAGCCTTGGGAGAGAAATTACTCGACCCAGTCTTCTATCCCCACCTTCTGGCAGGCTGGGTGTTTTCACAGGCTGAATTTGTCCCCGGTTCACTTTCTCAGAAAGGACAGCAAGAGCAGCTCGTGGAGGAGCAAGAAAAAGCTTTTTTAAATAACCAGAATTACGGGAATGCAGTGATTCACCAGGAAGCAGTAATCACAATGTTCTTTTCAAAGCGTGCTCTGCTCTATCTGAAAAGCACTTTAAAGTTGATGTCTCTCCCGCTGCCATGTAATGCTGTTTTGTAACAGCTCCTGGGAGGGAGGCATGGACATTTCTCCCCTAATCTCAGCTTAATGCCCACCTTAGGGCTATACTCTGCAGCAGTCACTCGAGGCAGAGAACGGGGAGGTGTCATTATGGCCAGAGTGGTGGTTCACTCGGGGCTGCCTGAGGAATAAATGTTTGGTTTGGGAAAGTGAAGTCCTGGGGAGCTGTTGGGATATGATCTCTACTCTTCCCTTCTCTCCTCCTGACAGAGGAGGCGTCAGCAGAGGCTGACAGAGACACAGTAAAGTCTTGTCAGGAATGGAGTGTCATGGCTGTAATTGTGACAGACAGTAATCCCTACCATTTCTACAAATAAATAAATATATAAACTTCCTGTAATGAACTTACATATTTTATATATGTAATTTGAAGTTATATATTTATGTACATATAAGTTGAATGGAATAATTTGGTGCAGAATTCTTGCTTTGTGTGCCTGAGCTGAAGCAGGGCTGTGTTTGAACTTTTGTCCATGTGTTCTTTTTGGAAGATCTCACACATCATCAGGGAAATCCGCCAGTTCCAGCAGACCTCCTACCGCATCGAGCACCAGCAGAAGGTGAGGCTGCTGCCTGCTCCTGGAACCAGGCTGTGGCAGCAGGGACTTGTGAGGCACAGCTGCCACTGAAAGCTGAAGTTGGTGCCTTCTGCTCCCACACGTGGAGGAGAGGACAGACAGACACACGGACGGGTCCTTGGGGCGGTGAGACCCTCACCCCGCAGGACCTCTTTGTTTGATGCCTTTCAGAGAGGTTTTTTGCTCCTTTGGAGGGGGATTGCAGCCTTGGAGGGTGTGAGGGGTTGAGAGGGAAGTGTGTTCTCCCTGCCCTGAGATCCTGGGATGAGGGTCAGGAGGTGTCCCAAGCAGCTGCTGGGGCATCCTGCAATTCTTAGTCCCTTTGCCCTTCTCAGGAGTGATGCAGCTGTGACCAAAGCTGCTCAGTGCCTTCAGAGAAGGCTCATCTCAGACTCCAGAAGAGCAGCCTGGGCTGAGGTAACCTGGCAAAGCATTTGCCCATTCCTAACAGGAATTAATCCTAATTAATTCTCAGAGTGCTGCAGGTGCATCTTCGTGCCAGCAGCATTCCAAGCAGCTGTTGGGTTTCTCAAGAAAACAGCACAAGGTGATCTCAGGACCCAAAATGTGCTGAAAGGGAAGGAGGGCTGGGAGGTTTCTGTGGCAGTTCCATGCAGCCTGTCCACCTGTGTTTCCCCACGCCAGGTCACTCACTACCTGCTGGACAAGACCCTCATCATCGACGAGGACACCCTGTACGAGCTGTCCCTGAAGATCGAGCCCCGGCTCCCCGCCTGAGCCCTGCACAGCCCTGCAGACAGCTCTGGGACAGGGCAACCACGCCTGCCACCACCTAAACACAGCCAGAGAAACTCTCACAAGTGTGCCAGCTCTCTTTTCTAATAAGAGATACAGAGTCTCACTGCCTTTCCCTCTCAGGCAACACAAACCAGTGTGGGAGGTGAAAGGCAAAGACCTTTCCTGCCCGGCTTAAGCGATGTCTGCTTTGCAAAGATCATGTTTGGCACTAGGGACCATGATTTCCTGGAAAACAGGAGACTTTCCTGTGAACAGGCGCTCACTGCAGCCACCTCACGTGGCAAATCAAGGGTACAGATTTAAATGGTGGTAATAGACTCAGGTGTGTTAGGATAAATAAGCGAAGTGAGGTGGCTGGGTTGATGGCTAGCTATGCGTTCACTGAGGCAGTAATGGCTGTGGTGTTCTCATTGTGTTAATTTCGTTGAAAAAGCAGGATTTTAGCACTCATCTGCTACTTTGGAGTGATATTAAGACAGCATCTAGTAACTTCTGGTCTGCAGTTGTTTCAAATACCTGCTGTACATTTAATGCTACTCGTTGCAAAACACTTTCTTATTTAAATGTCTCGTCAGCCTTTTCTAAGGTGACTGATTGTATCTGTACAAATGATTTGTAGATATGTTTTTCATCAGTGAGAGTATTTACAGCATGGAAAGCAAATTCACTGGTGGAATAGTTGTGAATAGTTGTAAATAGTTGCCAGCTGGGAGGGTGAGGGACCCAGAGGGGTGGTGCAGGGGATGGGGAGTTGTGTTGCACACAGCTCTGCAAGAGGCACCTTATTTTCCTGCAGCTTCTCTGACAAGTCAGGCTACAGAGCACACTCTGGACACACTGTGGAGAGAAATACTTGTCTGTCTGGCAGCAGGTGGTGATCAGCAGTGAACACTTGGAGCTGCAGTGACAGTTTCGTTTTACGTGGAATCAGTGGTTTGAAAAACGTCTGTTTTTTGGTGTTTTGGCGTTTGTTTTTGTTTTTGTTCAGCCATTTGGCGTTGACTTAGCTGCAAAACTGAAAGTGTCAGTGGCAAACATTGAATGCCAGCAAACACAACGTATGTATTTCTGCATACTGGTAACTATCACTTGCTTTTGTTTGAGAAAATGTGCTTTTTGTAAATGTCTTCAGAGCCTCTGCTTTTGTGGCATACCAGGTGGACAGATGTAATTTCTACAGTAGTTGTTGTACTTCTTGTATTTTCCTCATCAAGAGTGGCCTGTTGTAGCTGCATGGGAAGTGAGCTCAAATGCTGTGAAGGGCATCATAGTATAAACCACAGGTGTTAGCACTGTTGAAAACAAAAATTGGCTGGAAAAGTGTCCTTACTTTTCCAATGATACTCAGCCAGTTGAAGAAATAGGGCTATCTCACCGTTTACCTCCCTTAAATCCTCTCAGGGAGACAGATGTTTAAAACAGATTGTGACTTAGGCCTATTTGATCTGACATATCTTACACAGTCGTGATGCTTCTTAACGCTGGCAATGAAAAATGGACCTGCCTGGCTTGTGGTTTTTTGTCTTTATTTGCACTTTAATTACATTGCTGGCCCAGCCCAGAGCTGCACAACGAGTTCCATTTGTTCTGTCTGAGTGTGAGCGCCAGCATCTACAAATGTACCTTAGCAACTGCAAATTTCATTAAGGTCCTTCTCCACAAGGACCATCTCCTTGTAAATAACTGCATGGGGAGGTGTCACAGAGACTGGAAAATTCCTCCATTAGAAAAGCAGACAGCAGGAGAGAAGGACGTGCTAGGAACACTTTAAATAGTTCTGGCTGATGATTGCTGTGGAAATGTTACTTATAGAATCTTCTTGTTGTTAAAAAAAATGTGTTTGTTTCTTTTGGCTAATGATTGACAAGAAGCTGATTGCATCCCAGTGCATGATATGAGGAGAAAAAAAAAAGAGCATGGTTTATTTGGACCACAAAACCAACTGACTGTGTATTCTCTGTACAAAAGCAGTTACTGCTCAGTAGCTTCATAAAACACTTGGAAGTAATGGAGCAACAGGGAAAGTGTGGTCCAAAAAGTGATTTCTGACGTTGTTTCTATTGTTTCCTTGTTAACAAAGAAGGCGTGTTACAGCTGTCAGTGTGAACGTGCATCTCTGTTGTACGCTGTGAAGTGCTGCTTTGTCTGCCTGTGCCCGGTTTTACCAAATCTCGGTGTTGTTAGGGTCACAGGGTGCAGATCCTCGTCGTGCTCCTGTCAGAGCTCCTTGCTGTGTGCTTCACACGTGTGTGCTGCGTTCAGGGCTGGCTCGCAGGGCTGTGCTGTGCCCGTGTGGCCGGGGGGGACACGGGGGCAGGGCAGGGCTGGAAATCACTGGAAATGTGCTGGTCCAACCCCGTTTGGGGTCCTGCTCACATGCCAAAGGTTGCCTCTTGCCCCAGCGGCCAGTTTAGGTCAGAATCGGGAGAGTCGGATGCTTGATCTGTGTTCGTAGCAGCAGCAGCAGCAGCAGCAAAATTGTTTAACACTTACTACGGCTGCAGTAATGTTTGACTTGCTGATGGCTTCATGTCGATGTTTTTGCTTGGGGATACAATGCTTTTGTCAAAGCACAGGGAAAAGCGAGCCGCAGCCCTCGGCGGGGCTGCAGCCCGCGGGCACAGCTGGAACAGCTGTTCTGCAGCCGCTGGCGCTGGGCTGCGGCTGTCAGCCGGCAGCAGCTCCCGCTTTCTGTGAGGCTTCGCCTTGTCCCGCTGCCACCAGCGCAGCCCGCAGGGACGCATCTCGCTCACCGCACCTCGCCTCTGCTCTCTGGGGAGCCCGGCTCCCGGAGGACGCTGCGCTCTCGCTGTTTTTTGGGATCTTCCCGCAGCTTCTCGGGCCGCGGGAGCAGGGCAGCCCGGCGGAGGGAGCAGGGCAGCCCCGCGGGCAGGATGCCCTGGGCGCAGAAGGGCCGAAGCGCCTCTCCACTTGCCTTGTGAGCCCCCGGCCTGCCGGCAGCGGGCGGGGGCTGCTCCCAGCCCGGCGGGGCCGGGCGGCCTTGGGGATAAAGCATTTCCAGCCGCTGCTCCGCTCCGGGCCGGGCCCCGCATGTGTAGCAGCCCGGACGGGACCCCCGGGAGCCGGGCAGCAGCACAGACACGTCCCCTCCCGCGACGGAGAGCGTTCGTCACTCGCTGACACAGGGTTAGAGTTGCCTTCACCCCCAGCCTTCACCCTCTGCCCCCGGAGCCAGCAGCGTTGTTGGTGACCGAGCCCCCGAGCGCTCGCCGTGTCGGGGAGAACCCCTGGATTCACAGCGGCGCTGTGTGTTCCGTGTGTCCCTTTCCTCTGGCTCGTCCTGTGACACACGGACACGCAGCTTCGCGGTGAGAGGTGGCAAGTGGCACTGGTCACCCTGATTTCGGGGTAAGGAGGAGGTCCCCCGTCCTCTTTCCGCTTTCCTAGTTTTCAGTGCTGATTATTGTTCTGTAGGACAAAAAGGAACTTAATTATTTTAATTATTTATTAATTTAAAGCGTGTTGATTTTGATTTCAGAACATGTTAATTATCCCAGATTTTCCTTCATGTGTGTTATTTATTTTAAGGGTTTTACAAAGACATTGTTTTGTTTGTATCGACATTCGGTCTTTCATCCTTTCACTCTCAGCAGCAACGCTAAACCCTGATGAGTTACAACTCTCACCCATTGTGACATTTTTACCTGCTCATAATTTCACTCACCAAGGGCAAAACCCTTCAGACCTCATTCTGATAATACCTTAGGCTTCACCGAGAGCTTTTCATAAGTCTTTGGGGATCTGGCTCTCAGCTATTTGCCTGTTACAGTGTTTGCCTCCAAAGGTCAAATGTCTCTGTCTAGGATGCTTCATGTCCAAAATGCTGCTCAGTGAAGGTTGTTCTGTTGTACCTGAGGTAGTCTCTGAAGTTCTGTTACCTAGGGCAGTAGATGTGTGTTTATTTGACAGATGTACCTGTATGGAACGTGTTGCTTAGTGCACAATCCAGATGTTTTTGCATGTATTGCAACTTCTCTTCTGACCCGAGGTTATTGCTTTGTATTGTTAGTAAAGCATACCAGGCCAGCTGTTTTGCCTGTGTGCTAATAAACATCCTTTTCTTTCCTGAGTTCCACGAGTCCTCACTGGAATTTATTATTTAACCCCTCGTTGTGAAAAATCCAACCTACTCCTGAATTACCAAGTCTCCTGGAAAAGCAAGTCATTAAAGGGAAAAAAAAATAGGTGAAAATTTTGGGTCTGTAATGGGAAACCATGGTTTGAATTACTGTGTTTTACTCTTCTTTTTCACTCTTGATGCCTTGCAGCTGCCGTGGGCATCACTGCTAATTACTGATATTGGGTCTGGACTTGTGTCTGCACATCCCTTGCTTTCTCTGGGATGGTGCCCTGGCCTGGACTTAAAAGAACAGCAAAGGCACATTTTATACACAGGAAAAGGCAGAAAACACAGTAGTTTGTAAGTAGGTCCTGTCCCTCCCCTTGTGATAGGAACACAAGCCACGTGGAGATAAAATGAGTTGCAAATTGCAGAAAATAGTTGACAGAGGTTGGGGGTTCAAAACAGGTCTCCAGCTGGTGTTACATGCTTTAATCACTGGTTACAGCTTTTCTGTGTTTAACTCAGTAATTTCATGAAAACAGAAAGATTCCTCTGAAACTTGTTCAAATAACATTTTAAATAAGTAAACACCAGTGGCACTTGCAGGTCTGTGTAAGAAGGAGATACAGCAAGTGACATAATAAAATCAGCCTCTATTCAGTACTCTCTGACCTTGTGGCCACATCTTCTCCATTCTGCTTACATTTTTGGTGTTTCACATCAAAACTGAAATTAACTGAGAGAGCAACTTACCCTTGAAGTTGTCAGCTGCTGTCAGTGGAAGAAAATAAATCACAATACTTCCCAAGCAGCCTTGTTTATAAGTGCTGCAGGATCGTTTAATTTCAACTTTTCCCAACACTTTTAAAACATAAATTTTACTTATGCCAAGCAGTTGGCTGTTTACGTCTTTATTTTAAGGCCATCATTGTAGGATCACAGATTGGTTTGGGTTAGCAGGGACCCCAAATCCCACCCAGTGCCAGCCCAGCCATGGCAGGGACAGCTCCCACTGTCCCAGGCTGCTCCAGCCCCAGTGTCCAGCCTGGCCTTGGGCACTGCCAGGGATCCAGGGGCAGCCCCAGCTGCTCTGGGCACCCTGTGCCAGGGCCTGCCCACCCTCACAGGGAACAATTCCCCATTCCCAAGCTCCCAGCCAGCCCTGCCCTCTGGCACTGGGAGCCATTCTGGACTCTCCAAATAAATCAGAGAGCACCCAGCCCTCTTCGTTGCTGACCACAAAGGATGGGCAAGCAGGTGGTTAGAGGCTGTTCAAAATCCTCAGCTCTGTGAAGAAATTTGTCTTGACTGATGGTGCAAAGGCAGCGAATAAGAATTGTGAAGACTGAATTGTGCCTTGAAAGCTACACCCCAGTATTCTGGCCCTATTCCTGGGTAGCCTTAAAAGAAGTAAAATCTGAGAAGACCACATTTTTGCTTGAAATTTCCAGTTTCAGAGAGGCCTGAAGCAGTGACTGGTGCTTGCTGCAGCTCCTGGCTCTGTACAGGGGGGTTGGCAGCTCTAGGGGCAGCAGAAATCATTTCAAATTTGTTTCCTCAGAGGTGGCACCTCCACTGTGAGACACTCTGGGTCGGGTGGATGGGCCAGAAACACTGACAGAATTGTTGCTAAAAACTTACCTTCTCCCACCCCTGGAAGTTTGTAGCACTGGGGACAATATGTACAAATCACATCTAGATCCTTGACATGTTTCATGCACGGCAAATCCAAAGCTTTTCCAGACAGAGGAGGCACAAACTCTTATCAGTACCTCATATTCCATTTGAAATAGTAATATTTGGTTAATTCCATTTTGTTTGCTGGGAAAATTGCATATCCTATGGGAAAACCACCTGAAAAAAGAGCCTTTTTCCTTCTCTAACCATTCCTTCCCGGGTTTCCATGACAAAGAAATGCTGGAGCACCATGGTGGAAAGAGAGAAGGTGTCCAGAGTTCAAGACTGAGCTCTGTGCTTCTTGTGACACCTTGTCTGCTGTGGTTTCCTGGTCATTGGTGGTTTGAACCCCCTGACAGTCACCATCTCAGAATTTATTCACTTGTGTCTGCAGTGCAGCTGGGGAAAAAAAAAAAAAACACAAAAAAAAAAAAAAAAACAAAAACAAAAAAAAAAAAAAAAAAAAAAAAAAAAAAAAAAAAAAAAAAAAAGACCACTTCTTGGGTTTTGGAGATTCCTGCTTTTCCAAAGGGTCAGTTCCATGTGCAGGAAAACCTTTTCTCCTCCCTTTAGCCAGAACACACGCTGCTAATTATAGACAGCCTTTCCTCTACTCTGTAGTGGATGTCCTGCGAAGAGCAGCTTTAATAAGTTAAAAATAGCTGGGGTTATTTTTGAGGCATTGCTTGGGCCTCGTTGAGCTCTTTATTTAGTGGAGATGCATTATCACCTTGGGGAGCCTTTCTCTGCAGGAGGCACAAGGGTGGGATGACTGCTCTGTGCCTGCTTTGGCCACTGTGTGCCATGACTGGCACTGGGTGCTGGATTTATCCCCCAGCCCCTGTGGGATGCAGGCCTTGCATCCCCCCAAAAAAGGGATTTTTTTCCCCGGAGGCTGCGCAGTGTAAGGGGATATTGAGCATCCACAGTCACGAGGAGTTCTCAGGGAGAGGTCAGGGTAACCCCTGGGTATCAGCTGTGCTTGCTCTGCTCCTCTGCCTTGTTCTGAATCCCAGGAATTACAGAGCCCTGGAGCTGGGAAACCAGGAATTGCCATTACACCAATCCAGCCTCCCGTGTAGAATGACATTGTGTCCAGTGGCTTCTGCCGCTCTAATTTAGCAGAGCTCTGACTTTGGCAGCACGAGAGACTGATCTGTGTCCTTGCACAGCTCCTCAGCCCCCTCCAACCCCAAATTCCACACGCAGGATTTGTGGGAGCAGCTCAGCTCGTCACTTCTGTCCCGGCTCCTTTCCCTGCTAATGAATTATGCCCTGCACATGGGAACTTGACTTTGAATTAATTTTCTTCTACATGACTGTGGCAGTCAGAAGGGCCCTTCCACGACAGACAGTGACTTTGCCTGGCCCTTGCAGGGCACTCCCTGCCCAGCAGCTCCCACAGCAAACTCCAGGTGCTGCACAGGGGCAGTGGATTGGCATGAGCTGCACCTGAATGAACACTCAGCTGCTGCTGCCTCCCCAGCATCAGCAATGAAACCACAGCAGCACTCCAGCTGTTAGATAATTATATTAGAGATGAAAATAGGGGGTAATTTATGGATGAGCCTTGGTGCCCAACTGTTTCAGCAGCTGAGTTCCTCACAAAATAGACCACAGACCAGCAGTAAAGCCAAACTAATTGTTAAGTATTAATGATATATTCTTTAGAAGTCATTAGGGAATTTGCTAACCGTGGTTTTCCCGGTGTTTGAGCTGTAAATTCACAGAATGGGGTTTGTTTGCATGTTCTGTTCTCCCAGGCTCTCAGCTGGTAAATAGCTTGAACCTCTGCCCAATCCAGCCAGGCACTTCATGCCATCCCCTGCTTCCAGGGGAAGTCCTGGTCGCCCCAAGGCCTTCATGGGAAAAAGGTGAAAAATGTAAAAGTAGATGTGTGCCTCCATCACAAGCCATGGATTTGCTGGGCCCCTATTTCCTTACTCATGTTACCTCAGGAGATGCACAGTTGGTTTTTTCCTCCATCAACACCAGGAACACACTGTTAGTTTGATAAAAACCTGGTGTGATCAACAGGTTCTTTCCAGATGCATTGACCTGGAATGGCTGCTTTGGTTTTAATTGATCTGGGTGTCCATGGCTCCCATTAGCCCAAAAAAGGCATGACATTTTTGGGGAGAGATGTCTGTGTTTTGCACAGTTTCAAAGTTCTGAAATGCGGGTTTAGGAGGATCCTACATAAAATTAAAAGAATATTCAATGTACAAAGGGAAAAGGTTTTTTTTTTTAAAGCTGCAAAGTGCTGGCCTCTGTGCTCCTCTGTCAGCCCTGACACATGCTCAGCTCTGGTGGGAGCAGAGCCAGGTGAATGAAACTGATTATTCTTTCATGGTTTCCAAACCACTGTGTGTTATTTCCTACTGTAATTCACTCCTACATAGCTATAGAGACACAGCAATTCCAAATGCAATATCGTGATGTAATAACAGTAATTCCACATGAGAGGCTTCAGAGGCCACTTCACGTTTCTGGGCCCTTCTGCCTTACAAACAGTCAAGAATTAACGCCATGAATTAAAAAGTAGTAAAGGGGAGGGAAAAACAAGCCCCGAATTCCCTGCTGTGATCTCAGCTGCCTGCCCTGACCCGTTCCCACTGGGGTGGGCGTGAGGAATTGTGGCAGTGGTGTCCCCCTGCACAGGCCAGGGCAATGCCACAATTTTGGCCAGGACTGACCTTTCCCTTTTTTTTTTTTTTGGCTGCTCCTGAGGGGGTGCCTGGAGCAGGACCAGCCTCCCTGCCCGCGTCCGTCCGTCCGCCCGTCTGTCCGTCGGCGTTTGGGGGCTGCTGCCACATCCTGCTGGTGCCCTCAAGGGCACCCCTGTGCTGGCAAATGCCACTGACGTAACCCAGCCGGGCAGGATTGGCCCTGGCTGCAATTATTTTGGTTTCCCTCACCTCCCTGTGCCCGTCTCAGGTTACCCGAGCTCCTGTCCGTGCCCAGCCTCTGCTCCCTCCACACTCTGGGCTCGCTGCAGGCAGCAGGACGTCCCTACCTCCAGCTCCAAGGTCAGTCAGACTGCTCTTACGTTGCTTTTCTAGCCTCAAAACGCAGCATTTCCAACGCAAGGGCTGTTAAAAAGCTAGTCAAAGCACCACAGCGTGGTGGCGTTGATTTGGTTGTAATTTATGGGTTTGTGGAAGTGTTGGGAAGTATCTGCCAGCCCCCACTATGCAGCTGCTCCTAAATAATCTAATCACAGAATTGTTAAGATTTAGAAAATACCTCTAGGGTCATGAAGTCCAGACATTAATGCTGGCCCTGAAGTAACAAGTTTAATTAGAGGAAGATAAGTCTCTTTGCAGATA